ACATGTGATAATTGTCTTTCTGGGTCTGGGTTACCTTACTCAATATGATGTTTTCAAAATCCATCCATTTGCCTGCAAATTTTAAGATGCCATTGTTTTTTGTTTTCTGCTGTGTACTACTCCATTGTGTAAATGTACCACATTTTCCTTATCCATTCTTCAGTCAAGGGGCACTTAGGTTGTTTCCAGGTTCTGGCTATGACAAACAATGCTGCTAAGAACATTGTTAACCACATATTTTTGTGGTATGACTGAGTATCCTTTGGATATATACCCAAAAAGAGCACAACAACTTTTAAGAACATTTAATTAGAATGACTTATAGTTTCAGAAATTTAGCCCATTATTACCATCAAAGTTAGACATAGCAGCAGGCAGGCAGACATGGTGCTAGAGAAGGAGCTAAGAGTTCTACATCTTTACCCACAAGCAACAGGAAGTGAACTGTCTACGACACTGGGTGTAGCATGAACGTGTAAGACTTCAAAATCCTCCCCCACATTGATACATTTCCTCCAACAAGGCCACACCGCCTAATAGTGCATTAGGTCTAAAGATCAAGCATTCAAACAAGGATCTGTGTGGCCGATAACAATGTATCGGTATAGATTGTTTCCAGATAACAACAGCTTTTGACATTCGTACTCAAATCAAATGGAACCCTACATGGCCTCTAGAAGCCGAGACCCAGGTCCTTGTGAAATCTCACAAATCCTTGTCAAGTAAATCCTTACTTCTCAAGTCATAGAAGTCACTTGGTCTGGCTTTGAATTTTGTGTAAATGGGTCCTTACCAATTTTCTCCTCCTCCATTCTGACCACTCCTTGCTCAGTATCACATCTGTGAGACTGGCCATGCGGTTAAATGTGGCCATAGCAGATAGAGTTGCTGTTTCTGTAGTATTGGCATTTTCTGTGTTCCAGCGGGGCAGAAGCCAGGGGATTCCTATCATATTCCTGTATCCTCTGAACCTATATATTTTGGGATGGGGTTTGTAACTAGAAATCAAATGGTTAAATCAGAAAGAATGCACGTGTTTCAGCAGGGTGATTCACACCTGTAATCCTAGCAGCATTCACAAGATGAAGCAGGAAAATTGCAAGATTAAGTCCAACCCGTGCTATGTTGCAAGACTCTATCTTAAAAATAAGGTTTCTATGAATAATCTCATGGCAATTACCAAGTAGTTGTTCAGAGTTTCAGCGTTTATTTGGGGGGAGAGATTTTTCTCCAAAGATTATTTTTTGTACATTATAGAATATGGGCATTTACTATCAGGTTTTCTGTAACATTAAATTCTTTTCAATTTTTAAACTTCTTTTTTACTTTTTTGTGAAAATTTCATACATTACTATTGTATTTATTTAATTTTCACACTTTTTTTCCCCTTCAGGTCTTCTCATAATCTCTCCCATTTAACTTTATGGCCTCTTCTTCTTCAAGTATTGTTATATCCTGCTGAGTCCACTTAGTGTTGTTTGTTTGTATATGTGTTTAAGGCTGACCACTGGGAGTAGACACTCTATCAGGAGGCTCATGAAGGAGACTGAGTCTCCATCTCTTAGCACCCATTGATTGCCTGTGTCTCTTCCCCCAGGGATGCAGCATTGTGAGAGTTTCATGCACACTAGGTTGTCCACTGGTACTGACACTGTGCAGCTCTGTTAAGATTTCATGAGTGCAGCTCCCTGACATGCTTGATCTCATTACAGCCATTCTGGTCCTATGGCCCTTACAGTCTTTCTGCCTCTTCTTCTGAGATGTTTTCCTTAGGTGCTGGGTTGTGTTATAGATGATTAATTGGGGTAGACTCCCCACAGGGGTAACCCACAGCCTTCTAATTGAACTCAAGCCCCCCTCAGGAAGAGGGAATGCATGTTTGGCATTGCAAACCTAGTCAACACCTGTGACTGGTGAGGTCCTGGGCCCTTGATGATAACCTGCTGTTGCCACATTCCTTACGCTTATAATTCTCAACTGCATTCTAAATATCTGCTCTTATATCCACAGATTAGTACATCGGCAACCCTCATCAGAGTTGGAATTTACACTCCATCTACTTGTTCATGAACTTGTCATTTGTCTAGTATTATATAGATTGTATTTTATTTCATATATTTTTCCTTCTTGTTATAGTATATACTCAAATATATCTGTGTATACATAATCATGGGACATATTTGCTGACACTTGTCCCACTAGCCCAGAGCAAAGGCCACTGAATATTGCTTCCTTAAATATTTCCCAAATGAATGTGTAACTTTTGAGACAATATAAACACTCTTTTACATCTCTTGTCTTAAGCTATAAATAGTAAAATTTAGCTCATTTCTTCTTTGTATTGCCTTAAAAAAATGCAGCTCTCCATATTATGAAGCAGGAAGCTGCTGTTCCTGCTGCTGCTGCTTTGAGTCAGTTCCACAGCCTCACACAATTGTCTACAGAAAAGCTCTCAGGACACTTGTTTGGCTATGGTTCACAAGTTTTGACCCAAGATGAAAAAGTGTTTGTGAGGCAGAGGGATTGAGGGGAGGGGAGGTTCTGCCCCGACAAGGGGTCTTATATCTTCTTTCATTCCTTTGGCCAATGAAAGTCACGTGACTGAGCCTAAATCAGTGCTTGGGAATCTGAAAATAAGTAGCTTTCTTTGGGGAAAGAGAGTGTTAATTATTTTGAATAATTATGCATTTAACCATTCTATCTCATTGTGAATTCAATAACATTTTCTTTATTTCATACATCCATCAAACTATTATTATCTTTATATTTACATATATTTATTTGTGAGTTTCGTTCATTTAAATAATTGATTATGCGAGGTAAGCCTTTGGCTCAAAAGCTAGGATTTGTCTACATGGATAGTTATAGTAATCTAATTATTAAGGACATGCTTCAATAAAATTGTAACTTTTCATTTTCCTCCTAGAGTCTAGGAGGAAGAAAATCATTCTCTATTTATTTTGGTAACATGGAGAAAAAAGATGCCAAGGTTGAGGGAGAGTAGCTGACACCATCCAGTCAGGATGGCCTTTCTTTCACTCCATTTTCCCTTCATGGGAAGCACTTCCTCTGTATACAGTTTCACGTATTTGTTGGTCTAAAACACTTCTTTGTTCTAGGAGCCTTGTAAATTATTGTGCTTCAAGAAACACATGCATCTGTTTGTTTTTTGAATGGTATGTAAAAAATTAAAATATTCCCAAATGCATCTTGAATAATCAAATATTCCCATAATCCTTGACTGTTTTTCATTCCCCAGATTTCTCAAATTACAGACAGTGGCGGTGTATTCTGGTTGGATAACCACTCCCCTCTTCTCTCACCCAAACTCTGACTTCTGTCTTCTCTGTAGCTGTGCTGAGGTGCCATCCTGCCCATCAGTATACCCTTTATACCCTAAACGACAGCTATTTTTACTCAATGCACTTGAGCTATTTAGCTTGAAGGCCATCATTTTAGTCATATTGTTGAGAGCAAAGAGAAAAGCAGAGCATAATGGTCATTCTGAACTTCCCATCTCCTTCCTCTTTACCTAAAATCCCAATAGATTTGTGAACTCCATCTAGGCACCATGTGAGAAAATGGAGCGGAAAGATGAACCAGGCTTGGCTCCTGAGATAGTTTCACTGAACCAAAGCTCAGTCGTCTTCACACAGCCTAGATTGTAGAGTCTCACGAGAAGAATGTCTCAACTGAGAGACTTGCCAGATCAGATTGTCTGGGGCACATATCTGGAGGTGACAGTCAAGATGGCCTTGATAGTTAATTGATGTCAGAGGAACCAGCTCGCTGTGGATAGCACTCATCCCTGGGCAGATGGTCCTGGACTGTTTAAGAAAGAGCCTTGGGATGAGCCAGCCGGCCACTCCCCCATTGTTTCTGCTCTCAGTCCCTGCTATTGCTTGAGTTCCTACCCTGAATTCCTTCAACAATGGATTAAAACCTATACATTTGAACAAATGCCCCCTCCCCTGCCCCCCACACACTTAAGTTGCTTTTGGCCATTGTGTTTAGTGTTTGTCACAGCGACAGAATAAAATTTACCCACCCCTGTAGGTCCTTCAGTTATTAGCCCAGCCTAAAGGGAGATTTTTCAAGTGTTTATAATCCTGGCCTATTGTGTATCAGTGCTCAAATAAGAATTCATTCATTATTTATTACTGTGTTTTAGCTTTTGTTTGATTTTCAGGTGTGTTGCTGATCTCTTTATTCTCACAGTCTGCTCTGTTAATTTTCTTTTTCCCACGAGACTGGGAAGACTCAGACCAGAGACCGTGGTGATTAGCTTAGACTGTGACTTTCACCACCTTAAACTAGACACCCTCTGCAGGAAGGTCTCACCACAGGGGCTGTGTAGGTGGGATCTGGAGACTGGAGTTGGGGCCAATGGGTCCTAGCAGTGTCTGTGAGAGGAACTTTGCAAACTGTCCCTATCTCCTGAGCTGGAAATTCCTGCGACAAGAGTATTGAACGATGTGTGTGTGGTCCGAAGGGTCAGGGAAGACTGCAATCCCGAAGGCGATCAGCATTTCAGACTCAATCAGTTAGCTCCAAGAGGCCGGTTCATCCGGGTCCTTTTGTTTTAGCATCTATTGCTGAGTTGATTCTTTCATTTCTATAGGTATTTAAACAAGGCACTGTGAGTTTTTCATTTATGTCAAAATGTCATTTACTTTTAGGACCCTCGGATAATATTTTCAAACTGATACTATTAAGTATCCACTTTTGGCATCATGTCTTTTCAGGTGGATGATTTTTGTACATATTTAAACTTCATTGTATATTGATTAACATGAGTGTGCCATAATTTCCAAGTGCTACTTAGCCTTTAACGTGGGCTATATTTAAACTTATTGACTGGGGGCATCCCAGAACATTGCTGTGTATAATTTCCTGACTGTATTCACTGCATCATAAATAATAATGAAAGCAAATGTGCATTTATCAGAAAGAATCAACAAAACTACAGCCTGACTAACCAAAGCCACTTGCATTTCCAGGCATCAAGGCCAGCTTCTGGACAAGGATGCCTGAAGGGCCGATCATCCTTGAGGTGTCCCCTAACAACCAGGAAGAGTAGTTTGCCCTTCCGCTGAAGAATGGCCGTCCATATTTTCTTTCCAATCACCAGGTAAATTCCTAGCGCTGACAGTTAACATTTCTGAGAATGCCAGCTACTGAGGTGAGTGCGCAGGTGCTCACGGTGAGTGCTCCTCTGAAACTCAGGCTTTCTACTGAGGTGAGTGTGCAGGTGCTCATGGTGAGTGCTCCTCTGAAACTCAGGCTTTCTACTGAGGTGAGTGTGCAGGTGCTCATGGTGACTGTTCCTCTGAAACTCAGGCTTTCAACAGAGGTTCTTTTCTACACCAGTGTTGCTCATGCTGCAGCCCTTTAACACAGCTTCTCATTTTGTGGTGACCCCCAACTATAAAAGTATTCCATTGATACTTCATAACTGTAATTTTGATGTGGGAGTCCCCTTTGTGTGCTGTGATTACCATTAATGAATAAAGTTTGGACCTATAGCAGGGCAGAACTTAGTTAGGCAGGGAAAATTAAGCTGAATCCTGGGAGAAAGAAGGGCAGAGTCGGAGAGAAGCCACGGAGCTATGGGAGACAGATGCTGAGAATTTTACCCGGTAAACCACAGCCACATGGCAATATACATGTTAATAGAAATGGGTTAAATTAATATGTAAGAGTTAGCCAATAAGAAGCTAGAGCTAATGGGTCAAGCAGTGATATAGTTAATACAGTTTCTGTGTGATATTTTCGGATATAAGCTAGCTGGGCCACCAGGAACCAACAAGGTGCCTCCTTCAACATACTTTTGCTACTGTTATGGATCACGATGTATGCAGGTGACTCTAGAGGAGTCACAACACACAAGTTGAAAACCACTGATCATCCTACCAGTGAGGAAAATGAAAATTACAAAAGAAAGTGACTCCCCACAGTCAAAGTAATAGAGCTCTCCTCCAGTGCTGTCTAGTCTACGAAGTTATGTGCCGAAGATTAGTAAGCTAGCTTACGATGATGCAAAATGGATGGTGGATGGGGGGCTGTAGGCCTGGAATCCTGTACTTCAGAGCCTGGGCTGGAGAAAGGCTGTGGCTGGGAGGCTAGCCTTGGTACTTGCTGAATTCCAGGCCAACCTGGGGTAAGGATGGGACCTTGCCACAAAATCACAATCAATAAATTCTGCAAGTGAATCTGAGCAGATTTACTTTTTATTCAGAGAATAAATTGTGGTTGTGTTTTTTCTCATTCCTGTCTCCCTTCCCCCTACTTTTCTTTCATGGTTAACTCTCTTAGCAGCAAATGTTGAAGTGGTTTTAAGTACTGTTTAACTTCATGTTTCAGGCACCAATCATTTTAAAGTTAAATATAGTTGTAGACCTCAGAAGCAACCTAGAAAGTATGTAGCAGAATAATCTGTTTAAACTACTGGGTGAGTATTTAGAAAGAGATGTTTGAGATCACTTGAGCATAAAGTGGAAGGTTTTATGGCCTGAGTTGTCAGTCTTTGCAAGCATAATGAGTTGTTATTTGTGTGTGTAACTTTTCCTTAGAACACATGAGCAAATGTCTGTTCGCCCCAAGTAGGACACCAATGGTAGACTCCAGAAATGATTCTGCAGGTTTGGCTGGGTGAACTAGGGACTTTCTTGGAGCTACTCAAAGGAAGATGGTCAACTTTCTGTCAGCTCCATTGCCTCCCTGAGCATGGGACAGGATTTACAAACACCTTGTCTGGGGAAAGTCTCTGCCCGTGTTCTAGGCAGCTCTGTAGAAGAATCCTCTCCCTCAGGTGTTGTCTGCTCACACAACCTTGAGAGAAACCACTGGAAAGATGTCTTCTTGTCAGTTAGAAAGTTCTAGAACCGTTTGATGTATCTGACCTGTGAGTGATAGAATGAGATCATTTGCTTCCCATTTGTTCAGGTCTTCCCTCTAACCTGTGATGAAAGCCATACACAGTATTTCTACATGAACTCTTTGTGTGATGTTATCACGACTGGTGTGGCTTTTCCCCCTCTGGGTCCAAGCTGAGTTTAGGATCCTGGACTAAGAGCTCTGGGTGATGGTTTCAAACTCTTCCAACCTGGACACCCAGTGAGTTGGCAGGGAGAATTGTGGTTTGGACCCCAGTCTCCCCTGCAGCTTGGACCCCAGGTGACTTTGTGGGGAGGACAGAGGCTTAGACACCCAGTAACCTCAGGGGGAGGATGTGAGGACAGAACAGGGAATGGGTCTTGTACCCCGGGACCTTTGTGGGAGGTGGAGAATCTGGGCCCTTTGGATTGAGTATGTCTACGGATCCTGCCAGGCTCCCAAACAGGCAGACGGAGAATTTCCTGCTCTGCAAAGCTGGACCTGAGGATATGGCAGAAAAGTTCTCTTCCTGGTGTCTTCAAAGTGGCCTGATAGATGACCCTTGTGACAAGGAGCCCCGGATGCCCCTCTCCTACTGTTACTGCAGCTTCTTATTGGATGCTGAAAGATAGAAACTAAGTGGATAGCGTCACCATTACCAACAACCCCATACCAGAGAGAAAGCAGGAAGCTGCAGGTGCCATCAGAGGCAGGGCAGATGGTAGTTGGAGACAGAGTCGGCATGCTAACGTTGGATTCAATTACAGAACTGAAAACATTGTTTTTGTTCCCCCCTTGGAAACCTTAAGGAAATTAATTAGAGAAGAGATATTTTGAGGTTCAGAATAGTAGAACATAATGTTAGAGAAAGTTCCAGAACAACAGGAAAAGGAGGAACAAGATAAAAATAATATAACACTTAAAAATGTCTGTGTTGATAGAAAACCTATTAGAAGTTTATTGAAAAGCCCCAGTAAATCCCAGTCAAGATTGATCAGACAAGCCCTGTGCCAGGCTGGGTTATGCGCATTCTCTCTACCTAGAGTTCCGCACGTCTGAACATACCCACCACCAACACATCGATAACATGGGCACCCTGATGTCCCCTTTCCCAGGTGACCAGTCTGAGCCACAAGGGCTAAGTGGCAGATTCAAAAACCATGCAGTCCAGGTCTAAAGTCAGGGATGCACTCCTGTGTTGTGGGAGGTCCTCCCCCTCCTCCAACCTATAGCTGCTGAGATACCAGCCCATTGGGGCATAGTCTCTCTCCCTTTAAAAAAGCAGCCACTTCCCTCTCCTCTCTCTCTTCACTTCCAGCTCTGCAGGTGACTAGACTCCCTTCCTGGTTGCATAGAGGGCTGTTGCCTGGGACAGTGATCTGTAAGTTTTTTCCCCTTTAAATAAATACCACCCTATTAATCATAATTCCAAACTGGTGTGGCATTGTTTGTGACTTACGCCTTCACTCCTGTAACTTGGGAAGAGACTGAGGCAGGAGGATGGCCAAGGAGAGTTCAAAGTCAACCCAGGATGCATGAGGCCCTGTCTCTCAAGAGACAACCTGAGGAGTAAAGCCGCTCCAGGATGGTTTAGCATTCCTTCAGTGCTTCTTCTCATCAGCCAGCTCGGGTGCTGATAAAATATTCAGAAACTTAGGATAAAATACCACCTAGAAACCATAGGAAGACTGTGTCGGTAAGGCATCTCGACAGTAAGACAAGAGTGTCTAAAAAGTCCCAGCTTGTTAACTTAACCCTGAGTGCATGACTGATCATGGGTTTTACAAGCACTGATAGTCTCTGACGTGGAAGCCTATCAAAGCAAGGGCAGAGTGAACACCACAGCAAAGCAAAGAAAACAGACAAGCAAACAAACAAAAAAACAAAAACAGGGGAAACTGTGAAAGTGAGCAGCAAAATCAAGAGCCCACCTCTTCCCCTCCCCTATCTACGCCTCTTCCCCCACCCCTAAACCCTGCCTCTTCCCCTCCCCTATCCCCTGCCTCTTCTTCACCACCTATCCCCCACCACCACCCCTCCCCCTATCCCCCACCTCTTCCCCCACCCCATATCCCCTGCCTCTTCCCCCACCCCTAAACCCTGCCTCTTCTCTTCCCCATCCCCTGCCTCTTCCTCCACCCCCATCCCCTGCCTCTTCCCCCACCCCTATCCCCTGCCTCTTCCTCCACTCCCATCCCCTGCCTCTTCCCCCACCTCCTATCCCCTGCCTCTTCCCTTACCCCTAACCCCTGCCTCCTCCCCCACCCCTAACCCCTGCCTCCTCCCCCACCCCTAACCCCTGCCTCCTCTCCCACCCCTATTAGGTTTCTATCTGGGGATGTTTGAGAAGGCACTTCAGCACTTGCCTACAGAGCTCTGATATGGACAGAGGGACTCTCTTTAGGGAGTGCAGTTCATTCTTGAAGCCCACACGATCTGCATGCTGAGTTAGACCAACTGTTTTAGACCAACTGAGAGAAGTGGTGTTGAGTGTAGTTTATTTATTTTTATTTTCTGCAAAGCTTGCAGCACTAAGAAGAAGGCTCAGGGAGTGAAGTGCTTGCTATGCGAATTGAGAACCTGAGTTTGGACCACCTATAGCTTCACACACGCACCTGCATGTACGTGCCCAAACACATACACACACACAATGCATGCATGCACGCACACACACAACCACGCAAGCACAGAAAAGTTAGAAAAAGAGAGACTGCAAAGTTAGAACTTGAGGTTCTGGGGTTAGGCTCTGGGGACACAAACATGAGAAGGTGAGAGCATGCACTCCCAGGAACTACAGATGTCCCTCCCAGATTAAGAGTCTTCAATAAATGTATGCAGGGAAATACCCTCATCCTTAAAGAGATAAGGCAAAGCATTGGGAGAAGGAAGGCCTGATGTCTCTAGATCTGAATGTCAACACACGATCACTTTTGATGTGAGTCCCGCCCTCTTTCAAAAGTGTGGGGATATTGGAGACTGCCCAATGGGGGGATAAAGAGGTCAGACAATGCCTCTCCCAACTCAGCCACGGGACTGGCATGATTCTGAGCATGCTGCCAGGAAGCTCTCTGGAGTCTCATCAGATAGACAGACAGGAACAAGTCACAGTGGCAGAGAACACTTCCCATCACTTCTGCTCTTTCGCTCTCCTCTCTCCTGCCAGAGCTCCCCTACCAGCGGTTCTCCTAGCTGCTCCACCCCTGGTCCCTACAGCCAGATCCTAAGTGTACACTGAGTTGGTAGATACCGGTCAAA